CTGTACCGAACAATACGTAAGATTAACAAACTATTGTACGTACATCTTTAGGAATTTCGTAGCCAAAGACATTATAACTTGTTGTGGTTAGTCTAAAATTTCCGAGCAGCACAGGTCTAATTCTCGCTGCCTCCTTTATACACGCTCTTAAATATGGTCGGCGACTTCCTTTCGCCATAATTTCCTCTCTCAATTTAGTTTGTTTATCAGGATTGGTCGCTAGCAAATATAGCACTGATAGCGTTGCATTTGCTGTCTGTAATAAAATGTAGTATATGTATAGTAAAAATGTGATTAAATGGCGTATAAAATATTTATGGTACTAATAAATGAATCGATTAAGCGTTTTAACGACAATTTTCCATTTTATTTCCAAATATCATACAAATAAGGGTGAAGGGTCACTGTTATTGGTTTGTTATATCGCAAAATACATATGTAAAATTAACATGGACATAGAAAACAAATAAACATATCTATGTCGAACTATAGTACTCACGGTGTCAATTCCTACGAAAAAAAAGTCATCCAGAAACGCTAAGGCCACATCCATATTCATTTCCGCTAATTTTAGTATTACACCTTTTGTGTCTTCAGGCATTGGATTAGTTTTTTGTTTTTCTATAGTATCTCTTAGTAGATTTTCGTTAAACCTAAATTAAGAAATAAAATTAATATATTAAACTAGCTGTTTTCAAGCGGCTTTATCAGCATGAAATTATAAAAAAAATAAACTTTGAAACAAATTTTCAATTGCAAATGTCAAATTTCAAATGCACAAACGACAACAAAGACCTTTTACATTGGATAAATTGTCGTTACCATGACAACCCTACTTTCTTGATGTTTGCGAATTGCTTGAGACTATGTACATATTTTCACGCTATTAAACATAGGGGCAAATAAAATGGAAAAAATCTTCATATGGGATCATAAACTACAAGATGCCAACATTAAGGAACTAATTGTTACCATATGGTCTTCGTTGTCATTTTTCCATTTGAATTTTGATATTAGCAATTGAGAATTCGGCAAGTTTAACAATAAAATAAAGTTTTAATAATTTCATAGAGATGGAGCCGCTCGGGAACAGATAGTACTACATATACGAGTATATAAAAAAGATACAGATATAGATAGTTATGAATGGACAATGTTTGTTATTTGTATTTAAATTCCTCCCGCGATACCCCCCCTCCCAGCGATACCAAGTAACATGTCGTTTATCTTCCGATTCTTTTACAACTACCTGCCTCCTTTTCCGCAGTCTTGCGCCATTGCAATCTTTTTCCACAAAACATAATATTATTTAAATGATTGAAACTTTCGGGAGATATGCGTCTGCGACGACCGACGACACCGGATATATTCATGCTACACTATCGGCTACATCGTTTTCGTATTCGTTTAGTATATTTTACGTCCCCGGTGCGTCTCTTATTAAATAGGTTTTTTTTTATTAGTTAGGACTTTGCAAGAGTAAGTAACAAGTCTATTGTTCTTTTATAGCTGTGTAATCCTTAACCAACATAATCAACCCAGGAGTCTAATTACTGTACAATTATTAGTTTTATTATATTACAAGCTTTCGCCCGCGACTCCGTCAACGTAGAATTAAAAAAGACGAAAGTGAGTAGCCTATGTGTACTTCCAGATTATCCTCTACATCTACACTAAATTTCATCGAAATCCGTTCAGCAGTTTAGGCTACAAACTTTAAGAAACATCCATCCATCCATCCATCTAAACTTTCACATTTATAATATTATAAGTATAAGTATATATGTATGAAGTATGATTTTTGTACTTACTTTTCCACTTCTTCAAAGAACTTCATTGCTTTCCTGAATGTCTTGTTTGGATATAATCTCCACGTGTTAGGTAGATAATCTAGTTTATCTGATAGTGTAAACAAATTATGTGCATTATAAAGTAATTGTCGCGACAGGACATCTTCCGATGCATTAGTGGCAAAAGAATCAAATCGGCGACCTAATGCTATTTGTCCCGTGAATTCTAACACATACAACATAAATTCATCAAGAAGATTATTTTCAATCATGTTATTTTCATTTCGAATAGACTTCAATCTAAAAAAAGGCAAACAATTTTAATGAATCAATTAATTTGAATTTGCACAAAAAACATTTTGCGTTTAATGAATGGCAATACCAATTTAAGAAAACATTCTTCAAACTTTCTGACAATATCGAAATAACTTGAGAGCAAAATCTATGCAATATTGCTCTCAAGTATTTTTTGTTAAACATTATTTATCATAAATAAGTGTGTTTTCAACACTATCGACCCAGTTTCCATTAAAAGATTTATTATTTGACTTGGAATGTCTACTGTTGTAAGCTTTAGTAAATACAATTTTATGTTACCTTGCAACAGCTTCCAGGGCTATCTCGTCCAGCGCTTCTGAGTATATCTTTAATGATTTTGCTTGCATCATAAATGGATTGACTGCTGTTCTGATCTCCCTCCACTTGTCCTCGTGACTGAACAGGAAGAATTATTAAATATTGATTATTAAAATAGCTATAGTAGCGTAATGTAATGGTTGACTGTTAATAATTCAGTCCGCATGATTTCATTTTTATTTTTATTTTCTCAAGAATCTAGGGCATCAGTCTTAATAATTTCGTGAGCACTTTTATCTCTCATTAAAATAACTTTCATTTTTTTACCAATTTATTTAAATTAAGAATAGAATTGAATATAACGTTTTTAAAGTCACTCTTTTATCTATTGCCTATAGGACGTTTCAAAAATTCTGGCAATTAACTTGTTCCGCACCTGGGTTGCTGAAGTTTCCATTTAATTTATCATCACAATTATTCATTAGTGTTTGGTAGAACTAATTTTCAATGAAGTAAAACTCAAGTTACGTAGTTCAGAATGCATTTCATGAAGTTATCGAACCAAAATCACTAACGAATGGTTAAAAGTATTTTTTTTGAACTCAAAATCTTTTTCATACATAAGAGAAGTACTCACTCGAAAATGAGCCCATTGAGCCTTCTCTCCTTTCGACCCGTTTCCTTTTTAAATACAGTTTTGTAATGTTGCGCCGCAAAAGATCCTATTCGTACAGGCGCTGCATTTTCTGATCGATATATCTAAAAAGTTACATATAAATAAGTGGCTTTACAATAAAACAAGAGATTTACCGTCGGCTCATCTCTTAGTTCTCAGAGAATACACATGATAGGGGTGACCAAGCCACAATCAACTACCGCGGCCAAATACCGAAATTTAGAGATAAGATTTATCTTAATTCTATGTTAGAGGAAGTTTGAAAGTAGCGCCAGTGGTGGAGAAATTGAGAAGTAAAATGTAAGCGTGGTATGGACATGTTATGCGACGAGACGATGGGGATATAAACCAGAAAGTGTTAAGACTGAAGGTGGTTGGCTAATAAGGTAGAGGAAGACCGAAGAAAGTATAGATGGATTGTGTGAAAGAGGATATGCGTAAGAAGGGGCTGGATTCAGATATGAAGGGTGGTAGAAATGTATGGAATGCTTTAGGAAACGTTACTGAAGTATTTATTTATTGAATACAGCTTAGTTAAATAATCATTGTAAAAACAGTTGTAAATATTCCAAAAAACAGAACTAATAATGTTTATATTTACCTGTATTGCGACTTCAGGATCGAATAGTAAAATCGAGTCGTTTGCACCAAAATGTCCTTTCATTCTAACAACAGGTCCATACTTTTTATAAAGAAAATTTTGTAAGTCATAACCTCTTAGATTGTAAAGTGAACCTGCAATGTTATGTGTAAATGATAAATCTTATTTATTGGGGCGTTTCAAAGGATGTTTTGTGCACTTAAAGAGATTCTAATACAATAATTATAATATACTAGCTATTGCTCGCGACTTCGTACGCGTGAAATTAAAAAATAATAAAATAAAAAAATATCACATACTACTCACTGATAACGTAGCTTTTTATTAGTGAAAGAGATTTTTGAAAACGGACCTGTAGTTTTTGAATTATTTCAATAAATAAAATACAGACATAAATACAAATCTTTCATCTTTATAATATTAGTATAGATATAGAAGTAAAGACAACATGTTAAACGTCTCTGACCATACTACCGTTTGTTGCGTATGATGTGTTTTCAGATTGAACAGTTTTCGTAGAAGTTGGTTGCAAACAAACAAGCAGTTCACTGGACCTATGGAATCATTACCAATCTATTTCATTGCATTCATGGTGTTGTGAAGCGGTATGTTTTTTTTTATATTATGAAGTGGCAAACGAGCAAGCGGCCATCTGAATCCGACAAAATGGCGAAGCGACCGCTGCCCATAGACATTCGCAATAGTGGATGCGTTGCCTACCCTTAATTGACGGGGGAGGAGACGCACATAAAGATGTTTTTCCTTCTTATGCGTCTCCTGCGCCGTAAAATCCATGTTCCCTTCCCAAACTATTCTTATTAGAAAAAAGGTGGGAAGGAAAAGGGACTGAAAAGTTGGGCCTCCGGCAGCAATTAAAACCGGCACCACAAAAAAATTTCAACAACAACTATTATCTACCCGTTGAAATTATTTGCTCCCGAGCCAATAATGTTAAACTACGATTATAATCTTTATACTTTACCTCCTGGTAGAAAATGATACAACTGTCCGATACCAGGTAACGCGGTTGGACCAGGGACATCATTGAATGGCTTCGTTGGAGATGCGGTCACATCTATATTGATCGCTGTCGTTATTTGCCTTAAAAATAGAATGCATGAAAATACAAATAAAATAATATTACATCAGTGGTATTGTAACATATAAATCAAATCGAATTACAATATAAATGTTTGATGTTCCACAAACTAATACGGTTGAAATATATATTCGGACGCCAGAAGTTAGAACTGTAAATGCAACGTATAGTTGTTAGATAGTTATTAACAAAATCGTGTAACTGAAATCTGCATGCAATAAAATGCTCATGTAAAAAAGTATTACGGTAAAGTGACCAAGGTAGGATAAATAAAACCCTTTCATGTCGATTATATTATCCTAACTTCTAGCACATGCAGAGGAGATTATTAACGGTTTTCGATATAGTGTTAGCTTATTAACAATTTTGATGTAACTAGTCTGTATTCTTAAAAGTTATTTAGTCTGTGCTGTAAATCAATACCATTAAACTTTTGTCGAAAATTATTATGTACACTTTGTAATTATGATCCAATGCTTTATTTAAGAATTTATTTTAAAATTTTAAAATGTAAGAATTCTATTTGCTATGTTAATAATCGGACAGCTATCATATGTCATAAATAAAAGTGTTGTATTAACTCGGCTATACGACGGCCATATTGGTAGTGGCGAACGGGGGATGGTGGATACATGGGAAAACGGTGTTATTGGTAAGGTTATTTTGTACAAATTGGAAGAAAACATAAGAGCTAAAGAAGACTATATTTTATTGAAGCATATGGCTGTGTCGCTTATAATATAGGTTATGCAAAGATAATTCCAAAACTTTTCTTACCTTAAGCATAAAATGCTTTCCTTTGTGGATTTAAGATATTTAAACATTTTAGAATCCGGTCACCTAGAATTATATCAGAGTGTTCCGCATGAAATTGCGCGGCAAACTACGTTTTTAATACCTGACACCTTGAATTTGAACTAAAATCTTACGCAATGTTGCAGGATGTTGCAAAAATAAACATTTATAGGTATTAAATTAAAATACGGATGCAAGAAGCACAGTTTAATGTGTCTATCATACCATTTCGTTTTAAACCCATGTTCCACGACTCGAGGGTTTGTCTTTTTGCGATTTTTGACATTGAATTTAGTAACTAGCCGATATTGAAGTGGTAAATATTACAGATAATGTCCAAGATTTTCGAATATATAGCCTAAAAAGCCGAACTGACGCGTTTTATTCAGGTCAGTCTATCATCATATATTTCTTGGACTTTCAAGAACACAAATCTTCTGTCTACATCATACTACTAATGGTATAAACATTGCCTGGATATAAAACATAAAGCGAGGTATCCGGTGTTTTTCGAAACACTCTGTATAGAATCCACTTACATTTCTAGATTTCTTTATTTTATAAAACCTAACGAGTTCTCATTTATTATGAGCTGTTGCTCGCGAACTTTTTTAGCGCGGAAACAAAAAAAATCATCGTCTATAACATTTTCGCGTACAGCTCTTGTCAAAGTATACTTTTAATTACTCGAAAATGGTTAACTTTTGTATAATTCATATAGGGGTAAAAATTATCCCTTTCATTATCATCTTACGATACGAATACGTCTAATTACCAATAAACCTATTTAATAGAGATTGTCGATTCGTGAAAAATTAAAACCTTTTATTTGTTTTCGCTTTTGTTGTCTAGATTTGTTTGAATTTTTTTTATGTGCACGAGTGAAGTTTTTAAATATAAGCAATTCGTGCGGCCCCCTTTAATGGATTTAAAAAATGCAGCTGTATTCATTTTAATCCACAACACGAGTTTGTTTGATAATTTTTTGATATTACATGTTGTCTGTTATTTTTTCTTTGACAGTGAAATAGATGTCAATATCTTTTTGTATTTGAATTCTCTTATTACAATTCTATCCGATTTTTCGCTTTAAAGGAGTTAAATGATTTTTAGATATTTTAATAGGTACACTATTTAACTTTGCGTCGGTGGTCAGTGGTCTAAGCAGCGTCGGTGGCTCAGTGGTTTAAGTACTTGACTTGTAATCTTGGGTTCGACTCCTGCCATGTACCAATGTGAACTTCGATTTTTCGAATTTTCATACGTACCTACATAATTTATCTGACGTTCTTACGGTGAAGGAAAACATCGTGATGCAACCTGCACATATCAGCGAAGAAATTCCAAGATATGTGTGAAGTCAACCAACTTGCAGTGGGCCAGCGTGGTTGACTATGGCTTAGTCACCCCTTACTTTAGGGTAGGCTCCGAACCCCTCGGTGGGGACGTATAGTGAGCTGGTGATGATGATGACGACTATTTAACTTACTTGATTTTCATTTTTATGTTAAACATATATCCAATTTCAAAGTGCGAAGAATATTGATTGCATATAAGATAATCTATTGGCTTAAATACAAATCCCAAATGGATTCTTTTTAGAACCAGATTGAATCTCAGCAATACTTGAATATTCCCTTTGAATTTAGAAAGATTTACCATACTGGTAATCTACCTCTAAGAATAAGAGATTTCTAGTTCAAAGTTGCAATAATTATATCATAATACGATAATATATGACATCTTAGATAGATATGAAGAGTTCAAAATGTAGTCTTTATAAGATTTAAATATTTGCATGTTTTGACGACGTAGCTTTAATATAAAACGCTTGATTTTACGCTATAATAAAAACTTTAATTCAATTAAATCTAAATATAGATTTACAAACCATTGAAGGTAAATCTCAACATGTTTATGAGAAAAGCCAATTTATACTGTAAGCTAGAAGGGTAGACTTCGTTAACGAAGTTCGTTTAACTAAGGCGCGAGATGAAGGTAGTCCGTGCAGAGATCGTAAAACCCAACGATGTAAACATTATCACGTTAATAGCGTACAAGTCGCTATCACTGAGATGGGTCGGCGAAAGGCGCGTATCATACATTATAACGCAAAACATTCGGGCTACCCAACGCACATTAATCTTGATGAAAACGTAAGATAGAACATTCTTATTCGTGCCATGTAATTTTAATCTGATTTCCATTTTCATTAAATACCCTGATTTTATACATTGAATACAGTATAGTCACCATCATCCTATCTCCTTAGTTTAAGTAAATCACTCTTACAGCGTGTGCACACCTGAAATTAAAATATCGCACAACTGTTTACTCTTGCTTTGATTCGTATGACATAATGTGGAGGTAGGCACACTACTCTATGTTTAGTTGTGCAAACTAAACAGTTGAATTTGGCTGCAAAACAATCGACAATCGTGGTGCGATAGTTTAGTCAAAGAGTGCGCCCGCTTTTACAAAAGAAATAAGTTTTTACAATCAAACGGCTACCTTGAAATAGCAAAACGTCCGCTGCTTATAGAGATGTGCATCATATTCGTTACCTACATTTAATCGACGGGGAAAGAAATACAGGACAATAAAAATAACAACAGAAATTCCAAAATTTATTTTTTAGAAAATTATTTTTAACACTTAAATGATTTTAGACTCAACTTTAATTACTACAAAATTTTTATTTTTGGTAAAAGATTAATTTATTTTTATTTAACTTTGCATTGTGAATACAAAGAATTCCAGTAATGCGCAACAGGAGAAAGCTTTTAAGAATTCTTCATGAAATAATAATTACAAAAGTAGCGCTGAATGAAAGCCTACCAACGTTAAAGTATTTTTGTAACTAATGGCGTAGCTTTTAAGAAGACATTGCCTTGTCATTTCTGAAATATCGAAGATATGTTAAGAATTTATTAACAACATTTTTAACCGACATAATTAAGAGGGAATGTAAACACAGCATTACATTTACACAAGTTAATTTTATTAGTTCGAAAACAGGTTTATTTTTTCTTTGATCCATACTAATATTAAAAGAGGAAAGATTTGTATTTTTGTATGTATTGAAATAACTCAAAAACTACTAGCCAGATTTTACAATTCTTTCACTGTTAGAAAGGTAATTGATCTGTGAGTGAGTAAATAGGCTATATTTTTATTATCTTTTAATCTCAGGCGGACGAAGTCGCGAGCAACAGCTAGTAAATAATATAATCTTTATAAGTATCATCAAAAAAAATAACTTTATGTTAAGTTAGCATTGAAGTATTTGTAAAGTGTCCGTACTTGCTCGGAGTTGATCGAAAAGTCTGAAGTGTTGGCGTACTCCAAATGAAATCACGTTGCCGACTTGTATGCCTTTCAAATTGGATAGAAAGATTTTTTTTTAAATAAAATGAGAATGAATTTGAATGCTACAATTTTTAGCTGCTACTATCCACGCTTTTAATTTCATAGTAGCCGAGCGACTCAATTTTGAGATCGCTCCCTACATCTCGTCATTGCGAGACTAGTTAACGTGTCTGACAGTAATGAAGTAAATTTTAATTAAACCACGACCTCCTGAGGCGAAGCTAAGCACGTACTAAACAAGTAACAGCAAACATAACGTGTTAATAGCCTACACGTCACTTTATTAAGACTACGAGTACTACCCTCTATAACCCTAAATAAATGCAGGTGAATGTCAGTGGTCCTAAACTACATAGAATGGGTAGTCTAAAGTTATATTACTATTGTAAACTTGAATACACGGGCGGTATCAAGAGGTGATTCTAGTAGGTATTTAACCAAATGACACAAACAAGAAGTTTAAACAACTGTTAATGACAGTGACTAAAATGTTTACGTAAAAAGTTTGTTTCCTAGTAGATAATCGAAGGCATAATGTAAAACAAAAGACAAAAAACACTGAATAAGTGAAAAAAAAACAAAGAAGAGTTTATGCATGAAAGTAACATCAGACATGTTTATGCATGACCATGCAAATCTGTGCGAGGTCCATGCTAATGTATACGACAAAAAGTCACTTTGCTTTAATAACTGTCGATTTACTTTGTTTCAAGGTTTTAATCGGATTTCGGTTCATTTGAAATAGAAGATACTTTTTTAATTAACTTTAGTTTCAATACCTGACTTCAACTACCTTTTATTTAGCTATCTGCAATATATTTATTTTTACAACAATACTATTGACATCTTGTGTTATTAAAAATAATTTACTGATATTACTAATCGATATTTTATGGATTTTACTTCTTAAATTTGTTCGTCTTACTTTTTCTTATGAAAACATAATATACTCTATGTTTGTTAGTTTACTATAATACTTGTTTAGAAAAAGAAATGCATCAGTCTTCGTCTAGCCCGGCTCATTAATCAGAGCCCAACATCCCAAGGGTTTTTTCATATCGAATGCATAGGCGATAAAAGGGACGAATTGTGTTACGTAAAATAGAGTCGTAATATACGATAATAAGACTGATTTTTTAACGGGAACAGAAATAATGGTAGTCAGTGAACTGACTTTTATCCTACTGTTAGGTACGCAATTGTTTTTTAATCATCGAAAGATTGCGCAAAGAATTCTAAAGTTCAGAGAAAAAGATATTTTAAACGATTGTAATTCGACGATCAATTTGTCTCCTAATATTATTCACTTTAAACGGTGAAACCAACAGCTCCTAGTATTACCCTTTTGTTCTATTTTTGATACCGAAAAAGAGACTTCACATTTCCATCGTGAAGTACTTTCGAGCTGCGAGACAAAACAAATATTGCTCCACTGCCAACTTACACAAATAAGGGAATTGCGTTGTATTGATTTACGGCCAACAAAAATACCTCCGACTCTAGCTAGATGATTTATGCCCCAAAGTTATTTGAAAAAGCAATCTGCAATGAATCAAGTTCAAAACAGTTTTATTGAAAGTCACACAGGATATCAAGGTTTACAAATGACATAAGTTTATTATTCTGGAAGTAGGTACTAGATAAATACGACGACTAAAAGGAATTTACTTTGATTGAAGAACTAAGTAGTTCAAAGGTTC